CTAGGAAACAAAAGCCAAACATCCCTGTCAAAATTAATTCCCCAAATCCTCACCATAGAACCATGACCCATTTCCAACCCCAACCTTCCTATGGAAATCAGTCCCCCCTTAAAAAGCACGTATCAAAACCCCCCAACTACACCGCTTCTCTCTCTACTCACTGCCGTCCCTCCTCCGCTGGGGCGTCGTCCTGGGGTTGCGGTCGAGCGGGAGGGCGTGGGGCCGGTCGCCCGCTCCTCCAGGGCCCTCCAGGTTCCCTCCGAGCATGAGGTGCTGCTCCAGCGCCGCGACGCCCGAGCCGCTGATGCCCAGGCGCTCGGCGATCTGTGTGGCTTGGAGGGCGTCCAGGCTGAACCTACCAGGAGGGAGACATTAAGCTCTACGCGCTCTCTCGGACGAGCTCTCCGGGAGACTAGGACTACCGGCTCTCGTGCTCTACGGGGTTCTATCGCAAGTTTGTTTTTATGGATTGATTTTTTTTTTACGGGGTTCAATTGCAAGATTTTTTTTATGGATTGATTTTTTTTACGGGGTTCTATTGTAAGATTTTTATGGATTGATCTTTTTTACGGGGTTTTATTGTAAAGTTTCAATGGATAGTTTTTTTTATTGGTTTGTTTTTAAAAAGATTTATGCTTAGGGGGTGATTTTGAGATGCGGTTGATGCATTTTAGACTGGAAATTGAGTGACAATAAAAAAAAAAGTACACGCATCTCTCTTGCTTTTTTATGAATTTATTTTTTTTAATGATTTTGTTTTAGAAAAGATTTATGCTTAGGGGGGTTGAGATACGGTTGATGTATTTTAGACTTATTGACTGGCAATAAAAAGTACACGCAGTCTATCAGGAAATGCATGTGTTTACTATTACAGTTTTATTTTTCTTTCTTTTTTCTTGGTGTTAAAGATATTTCAGATCAAGAGAAAGTCATTGTCTCGACCATATATGTGCTTAGGAACACTAACTTACATAAAATATCTAAGCCAAAATAGCAAATGAACTTTCAAGAAAGATATATCATGGAAATGAAATAGTTAGTCCCCAAAAAATGCGAGAATCGCACTGCGCTGGGTTCCAGTATCACAGAAAATGTATTATCTGCTTTTCAGGAGTTACTATGTTATTTGCTTCACAGTTAGACTAAGTACAAAAACCAAGTAAAACCACTGCTAAACCCGTCCTTATCACTGACTGATAACACCCCCACGTCAAAGGAAATTAAAATGGTAAATCAGTCGGGGATACAGTCGTCAAAGGTCGACCCAGGAGAACAAAAATCCTGGATTTTTTTTTTTTTTTTTAGCGAATCGGAAACGAGGACGGACGCCGCCGCCCACGAATCAAGGTTGTCTCCCGCGTCAGCCTACGTCATGGCCCTGTCGTGACGCGCTAAGGGTCAGTTAAGGGTCATAAGGGTGACTGTAACATTGACAGCCTCCCCCTCCTCCTGCCGCTGCCTGTAAGGTCGAGTCCGTCATAATTCTGTTTGAGATAATGCACTTAAATGGACATCACATACACACATGCATGCAAACAACACATCCGATTCAGTATAAAATTTCAGTTGTAAGTTCTTTTTCTTGTCTTTTTTTCTCCAATCTGTCGCTCTAACAATTTAATTCTGACTAATGTTAATCAGCTGTCGCTCTAGTAGTTTAATTCTGACCTATGTTAATCAGCAAGAGTCTGTGAGTGATTTCTACACGTGTCTCCATGTGGTTAAGTAAGTTACTGAATTAGAGAATTAAGGGTCGTTGGTTACCTACAGTCGTCCCCTAGATCCTCACTCCCCATCCACACAGAGGGGGAGTAAGGACGACCTACCGCGTCAGGATGCTATTGAACTCCTCGTGGGAGAGGGTGGCGTTGTGCTCGGGGAGTTCCGTGATGGAGATCCCCCCGGTGGCGTTGGCGAGCTGGAGGAACGGGGTGAGGGCGTTGGTGGGGGGGCCCGTCGCGCCCTCCCCGACGCCGAGGTGGGGGGGGAGGTTGGCGCTCTCCCCGACGCCGTGGTGGGGGAGGACGGCCGGCAGGGGCTGGTAGGGGTCGACGGGGGACGGGACGAAGGGCGGGAGGGGCGTGTCCTCGGGGCGGAGGTCGGGGGCGGCTCCGTGTCCTCAAAGATCGGGTCTTCGGTGCGCGGGGCCGACGGGGGGGCCGACGGGGGGTCCTCGGCTCGAGAAGGACCGAGACTGCGAAGGAAGTTCTCCGCCGGCTCGCTGGGGTCATGCAGCGGGGCGGGCAGCTGGTCACGTGACAGGGAGGGGATCAGGTCATGAGGGTCTGGGGAGAGGGAGGAGGGGGAGAGGGGAGGGGAAGGGGGGTTCACGGGGCTCGGAAGGGGCTGGGGACTGAGGTTTCCGAAGCCCGGGGTTGCCAGGAGGAGAAGTGAAGCCGCCGCCACATGGTGGAGCATGGCCGACACCCGACCAATCTGGAAGAGGCGAGAAAAGGTAAGTTTCTTCTTAGATTCTTCAGTACATTATTATAATTTTTATTTTTTATTCACTGGTTACTTTAAAAAAAGTTTCCATCACTAATTATATTGCATAACAAATTAATAAATGTAACACATCCAAGCGGAGGTAAGCTTCATGTAGATTATTCAATACATTATTTTTTTCATTCATTGGTTACTTAAAAACAGTTTCTAATACAAACTATATTACTTAACAAATTAATAAAGATAACATATCTAAGCGGAGGTAAGCTTCATGTAGATTATTCAATATATTATTATATTTTTTCAAATTTTGTGGTGACTAAAGAACAGTTTCTATTACAAATGATATTACATTACAAATTCATAAGAACAATTCCATATTTCAGATTAACAATTTAAAAGAGGTAAACTTCATGTAAATTCTTCAATATCTTATTCAGCAGTTACTTAAAAACAGTTTCTATTGCTCATTATATTACATAATAAATTCATATGAACAAAACCCTATTTCAGATGAACAAATTAAATTGAATCAACAAATGTTCAAATATTATGCTTATCTTAGAATGACATGAAAAGAAACCGTGTCCATTATGTAACGAAAAGAGTAATTAGTCGTTTACGTATTCAAGTACTTACCATATTACGATAATGCCACCGGAAGCTGCATTGACCTGCGCGAGAAAAAGGAAAAAATGTTTAGTAATTTATTAATTTATTATTATTTTTATTCTTTTTTTTTTTATTTTTTTATTTTTTTATTTTTTTTTTTTTTTTTTTTTTTTTTACTTCGAGGTCCCCTTTGTTATTTTTGTTTATCTTATTCTTAAAATTCAACAGATTTTTTTTTTCTCACTTCAGTCTAAAAAAAAAAAGAAAAAAGGACAAACACTGTGTTACAAGTGCATAGCTAATGTAAAAATATATATATAAATACATAAATGAATAAAATAGAAATAGACAATTTGGCAAACTGAAAAAAATCCCTTCTATCTCATTTATATCCAACGAAATATTCGCTTATTATACACTTCTTCCACAAAATCGCCGAGCATTTAGTCTAAAAATACGTTAATGTATACGTAAAAGTCTTCATTTTACGGACATTTTTCAGTTTTGTCTTTTCTTGTCCAAATTTGCGGGAAATAATTTGCGAGTTCAGAGATTCACTGATTCGAAACACCGAGCTCGGATTTTTGTCTCGGAAATTGCTGTTCATTCAAGTGTAAATGGTGTACTTTATAGTGAAAAAAAATAAACAAATAGATAAATAAATAAAATATTTATAATATTTGGGGTGGAAAGTAGCTTAAAAGTAGATGAAAAAGATATACATATTTTTATTTCTTTAGTGTAATGGGTTGTCAGGTAATTGCAAAAGAATGGTTGGGTTTGTTGACATTTAGGCCTGAGCGCTGATCCGCATAAGAAACTATAAATTGCATATGACTGTGTTTATACATTTTCCACGCTTGAATTATCAATAAAAAAAGATGAGCGACTCGTCATCTCGTCTTTCGAACGAATATGCAAAACATCCATCATTTGGAAAGTAATTTCTAAACATAGGTGAACAAATATGGATATTCAAAGTCACGCCAAATTTTCCCGCCATATTTTCCCGCGCTTTCTGCATCAGTGGGCGATCGTCAGCTGTTTTCTTTCAAAATTGTTGACGATGCCTATTCATCATGTGTGAACAAGCAAAAATAATTATTGAATGACTAAGGCTCGATATTTTTCAAGTCAAAACTGATCAAACCCATATAATCTTCGATGCATAAATGACATAGAGAAAGAAGAGAAAGCACAGACGAGAGACGTAAATATAACACATCAATACGTAGTCTTCATTTCATAGTAAAAATTATTCCTTAGAAAGAAGGCACCGTCTCATCCCTTAACGAAGAGTTCCTGACTTAAAATTAATCAAATTAATTCTCCAGTTAAGGTCGTAAATAGTAAAATTATACAAAACCACGATCAGCTTGCTATAACGAAGCGAACAGACATATGATAATGAAATCAATAGCATCTGTCTCCTTATCCCTTTCACTTCAAATATGGAAGGAGTGTAAAGCTTACATTCATGAATAGATTTCGAGTTTTACATACATCACATGTTTGTATGTGTGCACTGGTAAACATGCACATATATGCATATTTCTATATATTTGTAACTGTATTCCCGCAAGGTATTTCTGCAAGATTTCGGTATAAAAAAAAAAGTCTTTTTTTTTTGGCTTGGAAAGAGCTTGGATATTATTTACATCGAAGGTCTACGGACTTATTTGAGAATGGTTTCGGTGAAAAGATTATAACCAACAAGAAAGACTTGGATAAGGATTGTATTATCAGACGACAGTGACGAAAGACCCAGAATGAATTTGAAATCATGAGAAAAGCAATGAAACAGTGATTCCAGAAGGATAACCCATACATATATACACATTACATATACACACACACGATGAATTTGAAAGCATGAAAAGAAAAGGATCACACACACACACACACACACACACACACACACACACACACACACAACACACTGCTCCAGAGCTAGTAGCCACCAGACAGGGCTCCCCCACACAACCATCTTCCACTAGAAATGGAATAGTCAATAGCAAGACTCAATTTGGGGTTTCATAGAGATGTGTACGGTATTGCACCTTGAGACAAGAGCTCGATTTTCTCATTACGACCTCGATATCAAGTGGAAACCTCTTGAATGAAAGCTTTAGGAAAAATAAATATAAAAAACAACACAAGGAAGTACGCAGTATATACAGTATATCTGCGTCAAATAAACCAGCCTATACGAGGAAAGTAAAATCCACTTAGTTATCGCGTGTTGTTCCCTACAAAGTGAAATGTTTAATGTTTGAAACATATAAATGTTGCTAGACATCAAAATACAACGTGAAAACTACCCACAATTCCTTTTATACATACGTTTACTTATGATATACATGTCATATATAGATAGATAGATAGATAGATAGATAGGTAGATAGGTAGGTAGGTAGGTAGGTAGATAGATAGATAGATAGATAGATAGATAGATAGATAGATAGATATATTATATGTACATACATACTATTCAAGTCACCAGATTACTGAAGGATGACTAGCCTATCAAAATATTCTACTCTTGTATTTCATGACCTAATTTCTCTACTTCTCTCTATGTCAAAAAACGATCGACTTACTCCCTTACTGATGAATGGGAATATAGAAAGAAAAGTATTCATGTTAACAAATGTAGAAAAAGAGTATGAATGAGAATGAATATCTTTACAATGCAAGAGATGTATTTGACCGGTTTCGAATATATCTTCGTCAGAAATACATTTACGAAGATATATATATATATCGACACCGGTCAAATACATCTCTTGTATTACGAAGTTAATAAATTCTCATTACCAACCTTTTAAACAGAATGTAAAAAAAAAAAAAAAAAAGCTATCTAAGGACCTTCTGTATAAAACCCGCTTTGATATCATGTATCAGTCACCCTGCATTCCGAACAATTTAATAAGGTAGAAATTCCCATTAATTAAAGTGCTTTCTCACCGCTATTACACTCCAGTACAAAAGAGGCTTGTTACACCCATTTACTATTATCATCTTAATGGCCCAATTTGGAACGTAAATGTCATAGAGCGTTGGAAACTGGCAATTGACGAATCATATTCCTTTCAGATTTCCCTTGGATTTTCTTGGTACAGATTTCTCAGGGAACAAGCAGATTTGACATTAGTACAGGTGTTAAAATTAGTACAGGTGTTTGAGTGAAATATAAGTAAGAACATTACCAATATCTGGAAATATTAGGTTTGCTGATCTATCAATATGAAATTATTATCTTACATAGTTACAAATTAAATGCCGAATTATTTTGTTTTCTAGTTGTATTAAGGTATATTCAATACTACTATTGATATGACTATTTTCTTTCCCATTAAGTAATAGGTAAAAAAGATTGTTATACTCGTTCAATTGAGTTAACAAATATTCTATTGTCAATGTTTCACTTTCTTCCCACTTCTTATTACTTTTTGGCCCACTTTCTCTCTCTCTCTCTCTCTCTCTCTCTCTCTCTCTCTCTCTCTCTCTCTCTCTCTCTTCTCTCTCTCTCTCTCTCTCTCTCTCTCTCTCTCTCTCTCTCTCTCTCTCTCTCTCTCTCTCTCTCTGCATATCTTTTATATCTAAATTACACACGTAAAAACATCAGTCTTTATAAACACCGTTTTCCTGACTATGCTATTACGTACAATACCTCCCCACACACACACACACACACACACACACACACACACACACACACACACACACACACACAACACAACACACAAAAAAAAAAAAAAAAAAAAAAAAAAAAAAAAAAAAAAAAAAAAAAGCTTCACTCATTCAGACAGTTAATCATATAAAAAAGAAATCCTGAATGAAAAAATACCAATCATAATAAAGACAAATAAAAAAAACACGCATTCTATTCCAAGCCCATAAAAAACACTAATTATAATAACAGATGTAATAACACCGCTCCCTATAAGGTTCAAGATTTCCCAGGAGTTAATATAATTCATGGTTTATCTGACTTTCTATTCCATTGGGAGCTGCTGTCACGTCCGAATCATGTTAAGCGTTCTCGGGGTCTGTCTTTGTCGTTCTGGTGTTTTCTATTGTTGTTGTGTCTGTCTGATTGTGTCTGGCTGTCTGTCTGTGTGTCTGTGTCTGGCTGGCTGTCTGTGTGTCTGTGTCTGGCTGTCTGTCTCTGTGTCTGTGTGATTCTCTCTATGTGTTTGTGTGTGTGTGTGTGTGTGTTGTGTGTTGTGTTTTCTTTTTTTTTTTTTTTTTTTTTTGCTTTCATTAGTATGTTTCCTTTTATTTCTTGTGATTTACTTTGATTTCCATTCTTTTAGTTTATTCTCTTTTTTTCTTCTTGGTTTTCATTCTTCTTATATTTAGTCTCTCTTTCTTTCTCTCCTTTTCTCTTTTCTCTCTCTCTCTCGGGGTCTCTTTTCTCTTACTCTCGCCTTCATATTCTCTCTCAATCTTTCTTTCTCTCTCCTCTTCCTTCATTACTCCTCCTACTTACTTCCTTTATATTCCTTTCTCATTCTTTATCTTATTCTCTCTCCATTCTTGATTCTCCCCCTTCCTTTATGCCTCCCCCATCCTCCCCACCTCCTACCTCCCTCTTTCGCTGTCTCATCCCGCTTCTTTCACTCTCTTTATCTCTCCGTCTCCCTTTCTCTCGTTTTCCCTGACCCTGCCCTCTCCTTAGGGCACCAGGTGGAGGGCGGTCAGGTGGGCATGTGAGCGGCAGCAAAGGTATGTTGCTCCGCCGCTGGCTCACTGGGTACTAACTCTCCCACAGCGATCTTCTTGTGTTGCCGTTGATGTTTCCACAAAACCGCTAGACTGGAGTTCAAAAAATCGCTACACACGCTAGACATAAGCGTAAAAATCTCTTCATTTTCCCATTAAAGACGACTTTTTAAAAAGATGGATAAATATAGACAAAATCTCCTATTTTTTTCTTCGCTAGATCCATATATCGAGTATCTCTAAATCTAGCGAGAAAAAAATCGCTAGAATGGCAACACTGTGCTCTTTACTTTCACTCGCCGGTGAAATATGGCGCTTGCTGTCCGTAGAGTTATGACACACGGCTTTCCTATTTGTTTTCTATTTTTTATCAATCATTTTTCGATTAAATTATTAGTTTTTTCTTGTTTGGATTTGTATTCTTGTTAATATTTTGAATGTGAACGGCTATCGATAATATCTAATTCTATATATCAATTATAACCATTATGATATTCAATATTCCACTTTCGTCTGTTATTATCGACATCTGTATCATACAATCTTACTCTTCTCTTTCAACATCTTTATCTCCCCATATTTTCTATGAACAGCCTTACTAAACACACTTCTAAAAGTTATTAATTTCAAAAACTGTATTCCATCATATTTACAATAAATAAATAAATACTACTACTTCTACAAATAATTATAATAATAACAATAATAGTAATAATAATAACAACAATTACAACAATGATAATAAACAGCAACAAAAAATTACAATGATAATGATAATAATAATTGTTGTTGTTGTTATCATTATCATTATTATAACAATAATAATCATAATCATTATCATCATCATAATAATGATGATAACAATACTACTACTACTACTACTAATAATAATAATAATAATGATAATAACAATAACAATGATAACAATAATAACAGCAATAATAATAATAATAATAATAATAATAATAATAATAATAATAATAATAATAATAAAAATAATAATAATAATAATAATAATAATAATAATAATAATAATAATAATAATAATAATAATAATAATAATAACAACAACAAACAAACAAATACATAACAAACCCACGCATGCTATGTACCCCAGCTACGGTTTTCTAAATAATGGTAGGGGACACTGCGGTATTAACACACTCCACGCTTTATTCCAAGTGTGAGTTCGAGCATGACCCCAAGCAGGTGAGAGTGAGCGAAAGAGTGATCATAAAAAAGGGGGCGAGACAAGTGCCACTTTTAGTATGAGTGGAGACAAGTGCCAATTTCAGAGTGAGTGCCACTTTAGCCTTCACTTCCTGCCCCTTGGTGAGGTGCGAAAATTTTTCCCGAGTGCAAAATCTCTTAAGGTTTTGAATTGTTGGGGAGGAAAAGCGAAATGTCTTTTTTCTGTCTAAAAAAATATATTCTTCCCTTTCTGATTTTTTTCTTATTAAATGCTCTTCTATTTTTCTCTCTCTCCTGATCACTATCTCTCTCTTTCCCTCTCTGTTAATCTATATCTATCTATTTATCTCTGCCCATTTCTATTAATCTCTCTACCTACCTACCTACCTACCTCTCTCTCTCTCTCTCTCTCTCTCTCTCTCTCTCTCTCTCTTCTCTCTCTCTCTCTCTCTCTCTCTCTCTCTCTCTCTCTCTCTCTCTCTCTCTCTCTCACTCACTCACTCACTCACTCACTCACTCACTCACTCACTCACTCACTCACTCACTCACTCTCTCAATATGTCTCTTTCTCTTTGAAGTATCTCTCAGTGCAATATAATTCCCTACATGAAATACCCCGTCTCTCCCTCACTACATGATATACTCTCTCTCTCTCTCCCTCCCTCTCTCAATCAATTTCTCCCTCACTACAACATCTCTCCCTCACACTAGCAACACCTCTCCTTCAATCCCCCTTCCCCCTCTCTGCCACGGAACGGTGTCCCTCGCCCTCTCCAAACCCTCTCTGCCACAAGGACGCCTCACACGGACCCCGAATGCCGCCTGTGTACGTACCAGCAGTGTTGCCAGATACAGCCCTTCCTGCACTCTGCAATGGCAAAGAAAGAGAAAATTGTTAATCAATTGGCATCAATAGATTTCGTGGTGGATATCAGCAATCAGATGACTGCGTGATGTCAACAGGAGTGGCATGAGTGATGTGGCAGATTGCTGTGATAATGGTGATGGAAATCTTGATTGGAATGTCAGTGATTGGTTATAGTGGTGGTGATGGTGATGAAACCTGATGGTGGTTAGGGTTGTGGTGATGAGGGTGGTGACTTTATGTAATAATAGTGATAATGGAAATAATGATGATAATAATGATGGTAACGATAATCATAATGATGATGGTGTTGCCAAAAATATCAACATGTTTGATGATGAATATAATTATTATGATAATAAGAATGATAACAACTACATGTATTACTATTACTACTGCTATTGTTATTCATAGTAATAAAAATTATCATCATTAAAAGAAATAATTATAATTATCATCATAACCAGTTTGATAATACATGACGACAACGAAGATGATGATCAAAATAAAACGAGAGAGAATAAGAAGATGAAGAAAACAACAATGACAATAATAGTGAAAATAAGAAATATAAAGAAACCTTACCACAAAGACAAAGAACAAAGTAAAATCAAAGAAAAAATAAAATACCTCACAGCTCTAAGACAAACAGCAAAGTAAAATCAAAGAAAATACCTCACAGCTCTAAGACAAACAACAAAGTAAAATCAAAGAAATACCTTCCAGCTCTAAGACAAAGAACAAAGTAAAATCAAAGAAAATACCTCACAGATCTAAGACAAAGAACAAAGTAAAAATAAAATACCTCACAGCTCTAAGACAAAGAACAAAGTAAAATCAAAGAAAATACCTCACAGATCTAAGCTACCACAGCTCTAAGTAACCTCACAGCTCTAAGACAAAGAACAAAGTAAAATCAAAGAAAAACAGCTCTAACTAAAATACCTTCCAGCTAAGACAACAACAAAGTAAAATCAAAGAAATACACAAAGACAAAGAACAAAGTAAAAAGAAAAAAAAACTTACAGCTCTAAGACAAACAACAAAGTAAAATCAAAGAAAATACCTTAAGAAAGAACAAAGTAAAATCAAAGAAAATAGCTCTAAGACATAAAAAGATCTAAGGCAAAGATCAAAGTAAAAGAAAAAATACCTCACAGCTCCAAGACAAAGAACAAAGTAAAAGAAAAAAAACTTACAGCTCTAAGACAAAGAACAAAGTAAAAGAAAAGAAAATACCTCACAGCTCTAAGACAAACAACAAAGTAAAAAGAAAATAAAATATAAAATAAAAATAAATAAAAAGAACAAAGTAAAAAGAAAAAAATAACACATGCGACCAGCGTCCAACACACACGGTCACCATAACAACCAAAACACGGTGTTTCTCTCTTACGTAACAAACACAGCTGACCACAAACGAGCTGTCACGAGGCCTAAGTAAAAGCGAGAGTAATAACACGTGTTGTGATGACGTGTTGGTTCCTCGGCCGCCTTGTGAGTGGCAGAAATATGATCAAAATGTCGGATTATTAATGTGTGGGAAGGTTTATCAAGAAGGGGGAGGGGTGGGGGTGGGGTTGGGGGGGGGGGGTAGATCGAAAGTTTTTGGGTGAGAGAGAAATTCTTCTTTTTTTTATCATATTTTTTTGTCTATTTCTTTCTCTCGCTGAATGGCGATGTGCGGCCGAAACGAAGAACGGTAATATCTGTTACTTAAAAGAGAGAGAGAGAGAGAGAGAGAGAGAGAGAGAGAGAGAGAGAGAGAGAGAGAGAGAGAGAGAGAGAGAGAGAGAGAGAGAGAGAGAGAGAGAGAGAGTCACCGCAGCGAAAATGTCTAGATTATGAAAGAAAGAAAAAAAGGATTATCCCATTGCACATGACCGCATGACATGAGCGATTCTGAAGCAACGTGTCATAAAATATAATCCATTTTATGATAAACAGATCGTCGCTTTTTGAATAAACACAATATACTCGCACACCCTACGCCGCAACACACTGCAATATGGCATCGCAGCAACACCCGCAACACACCTCCAACCACACCATTGCATAAGACAACAGGTAAACATGGCGAGAAAGAATAGTGGTTTAAATACGTTATGAATTCGTACACAACGAATTGCTTGGCGTGACGGTGAGAGAGAGATTGCAACAGATATCACGCCATAGATGGAATGTGCAACAGTAAGTGCACATGTACACGATAACGGATAATAAGCACATATGAACAATAAAAGGTATGTAGGGAAGCGATGGTGGAAGTAAGGAAGGGAAAAAAGAGAGTAAGAAAGAGAGTAAGGTAGGGAGAAGAGAAAGATGGAGGGGGAGAAAGGAAGAAGGATGGATGGAAGGAGGGAGGGAGAGAAAGAATAGACAGACAGATAGAGAGAAAGAAAAAGGGCGAGTTAAAGGCCGAGAGAGAGAGAGAGAGAGAGAGAGAGAGAGAGAGAGAGAGAGAGAGAGAGAGAGAGAGAGAGAGAGAGAGAGAGAGAGAGAGAGAGAGAGAGAGACAGACCCATATTAACAAATTCCCAGCAAGTCCAAAGGCAAAAGGCACACACACACACACCACACACAAACACAAACACAAAACACAAACACAAACACAAAACACACACACACACACACACACACACACACACACACACACACACACACACACACACACAACAAACACACACACAAACACAAACACAACACACACACACACACACACACACACACACACACACACACACACACACACACACACACACACACACACACACACACACACACACACACACACACACACACACACACACACACACAAACAACACACACACAAACACACACACACAAACACAAACACACACACACAAAACACAAACACAAACACAAACACACACACACACACACACACACACACACACACACACACACACACACACACACACACACACACACACACACACAGCACACGCTAGATCACCGAGGCGACACACAGACGGGGACAGACAGACAGACAGGCCTACACAATAGACATAGGCCTATAATCAGCATAAGACGCCACGGCATCACACGACGAGACTTTCTCTCCTTAATATCAGACGCAGAAAACGTGAGATCCGTGTACAGGGGGGGGGGGGGTATGGTAGGCCTAGGGAGGGGGAAGGGGGAGGGGGGGCTAGGGGGGGGGAAGGGGGAGGGGGCTTGGTGTGGTAAGGCCTATGGGGGGTAGGGGGGAGGTAGGTAGCTTGGTGTGGTAGGCCTAGGGGGTAGGGGGAGGGGAGGCTTGGTGTGGTAGGCCTAGGGGGTAGGGGGGAGGCTTGGTTGTGGTAGGCCTAGAGGGGAAGGGGGTGGGAGGCTTGGTGTGGTAGGCCCTAGGGGGGAAGGGGGAGGGATGGAGGTTTGGTGTGGTAGGCCTAGGGGGGAGGGGGAGGGGGGCTTTGGTGTGGTAGGCCTAGGGGGGTGAGGGGGAGGGGAGGCTTGGTGTGGTAGGCCTAGGGGGGGAGGGGGAGGGGAGGCTTGGTGTGGTAGGCCTAGGGGGGGAGGGGGAGGGATGGAGGCTTGGTGTGGTAGGCCTAGGGGGGGGAGGGGGATGGGAGGCTTGGTGTGGTAGGCCTAGGGGGAGGGGGGCTTGGTGGTAGGCCTAGGGGGGATGGGGGTTGGTGTGGTAGGCCTTAGGGGGGAAGGGGGGGCTTGGTGTGGTAGGCCTATGCGAGAATCTTTGAAGAGATTAGGTAAATAAGGAAGTTAAGGAAGAGAAATTATGGTGTAACTTTCCTGTCTTATCATTCACTGCGTAATAATTATAAATCAATAAAAAAAGCTATGACACTGATAGAGATAGATAAATAGATACCAAATGAATCATGGTACTGATATAGATCATTAGATACCGACATGGATATAGATAAATATACAGCTAGATAGATACATAGATAAAGATAAATTGATAGCTAGAGAGACAAATAGATATAGATAAATAGATGGCTAGATAGATGAATATATGTGGATAAAGATAGAGAGATACATATAAGTAGATAGATTTATAGACAGATGTGTGTGTGTGTGTGTGTGTGTGTGGTGTGTGTGTAAGTGTGAGTGAGTGAGTGAGTGAGTGAGTGAGTGAGTGAGTGAGTGAGTGAGAGTGAGTGAGTGAGTGAGTGAGTGAGTGAGTGAGGGAGTGGGAGGGAAGTGAGTCGTGAGTAAGTGAGTAAGTGAGTCAGTGAGTCAGTGCGTGTGCGCGTGCGTGTGTGTGCATGCCTGTGTTCGTGCGTGTGCGTGTCTGTGTGTGTGTGCAAGGCTGTGTGCGTGTACGTATGCATGTACGTACGTAAAACCAGCCTTTCCCAGCGTCCTTGAAGAGGGTGAGAGTAAGAAGGTCGAGGACATTTAGCCTCAGACATTCCGGAAATAGGCCTAGCAAATGTGTAGGCCTACCCTCGCGGGTACATACACGGCCTTGGGAGGTCGCGCCGTGCGGTGAGAGTTGGCCTCGGGGGTAAGGGGAGGGGGATGGGGGGGTTTGAGGGGGAGGCGCATGGGGAGCGGGAGGGGGAGGGAAGGGAAGGGAGGGGAGGGGAGGGAGGGGAGGGAGGGGGTGGGGTTTTGAGAGGAGGGGAGGGGAGGGAGGGGAGGGAGGGGGGGGAAGGGAGGGGGAGGAGAAAGGGGGGAGGGGAATGACACATTAAGCGCACACAGACACACACGCACACGCGCAAACACCAACATAAAAGCGACATAAAAAAAAGAGATTCGACACTTTTTCTTTTTTCTCTCTCTCTCTTCCTTTTTTATCATACTTTTTTCCCTCCTCTCTTTCTTTTTTTTACAGAATCGAGATCGACATTATTCAGTGACAACGCTTTATCACCCGTAATAAAAAAAAAATAAAAAATAACAAAAAATATACGGGTTTACAGTTGAACGTGTCTGCCTGTCCGAAATTTACGGTTATTTTTGGCGCCAAAAAATTGAATTTTCGGCCAGTTTGTTAGAATTGAGAGAGGCCCGACCCAAAGAATATTCGTATACTTGACATGCATACATAAAGAAATAAAAGCATATTTATCAGTCTAGACCCGGTAAATAGATGGTTAAATTTATATCTATTAGATATATACGGCCGGTTTGTTAGAATTGAGAGAGGCCCGACCCAAAGAATATTC